TTTATTATTTTAACACAAAGAACTGATGATTAATGAGATAATATTGATATTATATTAATACAATTATGCAAATCATAGATTAATTATCATTCGGGGATAGAGGTTTATGCCCCAAGCCAACATGGATCCCGCAGGCTGGCAATAGACGAAGAAAAAAATTGAAAAAAAATAAAAGGTCAAATTTTGAATTTCATCCCTGCTCTTTACGAAAATTAAGAAGCTTATTTAATGGTAAAATTGCAAATAATCCATTCTAAAAATTATAAAATAATTCATGGAAACATTACATCCCCCACACCAAACCAAATGATAAAATGTGACTTGATAGAAGTTAACAGTTCAACAAATAGAAAAAATCACCATTTTAAGTTAATCTATTTACCAATATCTTGACCAATTTTCGATTTCATAAGAAATAATGATTGAATTGTGATAAATTAAAGGGTAAAGTACACAAATGGTCCCCTAACTATAGGATAATATTTTATCGAGTCCATTGACTATTAAAAGTTACAAAATGATCACCTGACTATTAATTACGTTCCAAATTCGTCTTTTTCCGTTAAAATTTTAACGGCAATCTGAGCTGAACGTTAACTGTTAATTGAGATATCATAAAATCTGATCTCATAATCTTAAATATCTCAGTCAACATGTTAACGTCTAACTCAGACGATCGTTAAATTTTTAACAAAAAATGATGAGTTTAGAACATAATAAATAGTCGAGTGACCATTTTGTAACTTGTAATAGTTGAGGGACTCAAAAAAATAACTCCTTATATTCGAGAGATCATTTTGTAACTTTTAATAGTCAAATGACTCAATAAAGTATTATTCTATAATCAGAAAATCATTTGTGTAATTTACCCTAAATTAAACATAGAAGTATTAACCAACGGGGTTGATTCAAGTGGTAAACAACTTAATATCGTTTAAGCAAAGTCTCAGGTTCGAGTCATTGTGTATATAGAAAATCTCCGCTGGGAGACTCACCCACCAATACTAGGTGTACAACCCAGATCAATACAAATTAGTCAATGCGAAGGTTGGAACTGGAGGGGAAAAATAGAAGGATTAACCTCTTTAACCTTTTGAAATTATAGGGAAAAACAAAATTGGGATAAAAATTAATTATGATGGGAAGAACAAAATCAGATTTGATGAATTTCCAAACTAATTTCAATTCTGTTGAGATTTTATTCCTTTTCTGTATTTTTTTTAAAAAAATTCATGAATTTTACACATATTTATTCCAATCCAACCCTGCAGAAGAGATCGTGCAATGGCCGGCATTCTTTTCAGCTTTAAAATATTGGATTATTATTATTATTATTAAAAATCCATAATTCATCTATTTAATTAGGAGAAAACCCTCTGATTTGTTTTTAATCTTAAATAAAAATAAATAAAATAGAGGAAAAACCGCCGGAATCTTAGGTATGAATATGATAAGATTTAAAAATTATTCATTGTTTGGTGTAAAATAGTATATTAGGTGTGTGAAGTGAACGTATAAGTTTATTTATTTATTAAATATATAGTATAAGTTTATTTTATTAAAAATATTTTTTAATCTTTAAATCTTTCTTAATCTAGATATAACAATAGTTTAAGACATCTTAATACAATTCGTGTCATGTTAATTAAACTATCGAAAATCGATTTTAATTTTATTATATGATCTCAAATCATTTCTTAAAATATTATGTAAAGGGTATTTTTGTCTTTACATTAATCAAAACACAGATGTGGAATTTTGAATTTTTTTATTGTTTGGTATAATAAATATAATATAAAAATAATATATATGATATGAAGATAGATAGATTTGAGAATATAAGAATGGATTTATTTTTAGGTAAATAGAATTTTTGTTTTAAACATACATTTATTTTAGATTAGATTTCAATTAGATTTTTTTTAAAAATAAGGATGAATGTTGCTTTACAAGAATTTACACAATTTTGATAAATTATTTATTTAAAATTTTACTTTTAAAAAATGAAAAGTACATAATGCACATAGGGTAAAAGTAAATTCTTAATTAGGGGTGTTCAAAATTCGGTTTTAACCGAATTAACCGACCGAACCGAATTAATTCGGTCGGCCACCGAATTAGTTCGGTCGGGGAACGATTAAGGTTTTTTTAGATATTCGGTTAACGGTTAATTTGGTTCAAAATCGGTTAATTAACCGAAATAAAATTTTAAATATTAAATATATTATATATAACATATGGGCTCAGCCCAAACCATTTAAAATCCAATTAATAATTTAAGATCCAATAATTTTTAAAAATAAATCAATATTAATTAATTAAAAATTTTATATAAAATTTTTATTTTATAATTATATATTATTTAAATTAATTGTAAACTATTTTTTTGAATTAAAAAATATTAAATATATTATATATATAACATATGAGCTCAGCCCAAACCATTTAAAACCCAATTAATAATTTAAGATTCAATAACTTTTAAACCTAAATCAATATTAATTAATTAAAAAATTTATATAAATTTTTTATTTTATAATTATATATTATTTAAATTAATTATAAACTGTTTTTTTTTGAATTATAAAATATTTAATTTATATATATATAAATTAGAAAATTTTAAAAAAATTTGGTTAATTCGAAAATTAACTGAATTAACCGAAATTTATTCGGTTCGGTTAATATTTTCGAAAAAAAGTTCGGTTCGGTTAACGGTTAAAGAAAAAAAAGTTTAATTAATTCGAAAATGGTAGTTCGGTCGATTCGGCCATCAAATTAACCGAATGAACACCCCTATTCTTAATTGTTACTTGGGCAGTTGGGCTTGAAGTAAGGATATATAAATAATATTTTTATAAAAATCGCTATTTTCAGTAAATTTTTATATTCATCGTAAAACTAAAAATATGTATAAACACCGAAGTAAAAGTAAAAAAAAATCGTTTATCGAGATTAATTCTTTTAAAACTCTTTTAAGTAATTAAGTAAATCTATAATCCCCATGCATTTACCATAATTAATAAACTTATTTAATTGGAATTTTTTGAACCATTAATTAATGATTTAATTTTTAAATAAGATTAAAACTTTCCAACACATTTCTTTGTACATAAGATTAAATGTTAGTGATTAAGAGATTTGTTATTATCTTTTGAGGTTTCGGGTTCAAACACCGTAAATGTTAGGGGTATAAACGTTAAATATAAAATGATTGAGAGTATTTAAACATATACTTCGTCTAGATTTATCAAAAAAAAAAAACAAATACTATGTATTTAGTATCTAAACTATCGGTTTTGATTACCTAAACTTTAAAATTTTTCAAAATCATATATATCGTTTAGTTTTCATTTCATTTTAGTACCCGCCGTTAAAAACTTAATGCGTTTAGTATCTAAACTATCAGTCTTGATCCGTTTTGATACGTAAACTTTCAATCTTTTCGAAACTTTACATTAAAATTTTAACGGGATACTAAGATGAAATAAAAACGAATCAAAAATGACAATTTAAGTACTAAACGCGTAATTTACCCATCAAAAACTGACAAATTCATGACAATATGCAACACATACACCATGGAAGATGAGAAAACTATTCAAACAATTATGAGATTCATATTCATAGAAATATTCTGGTACATGATCTTGAGATATACATACACCAAAGCTCGAGATTCCCAAAAGTATGAAAGAACAAGACACTTGTAGAAGGATTGAAAGGCCATTGAAGGAGACAAAGTATCCCAACATCAGAAACAATGTCTGGTCTGAGAATGTCAGCTCAGCTCCCATTTTACTCATCTCCACGACCCCTTTCATTCTTCTTCATCAACCCCATTTGTTTATTTCATGTTTTTTTTAATGAAAATTTTATGATATTTTCAAGTTAAGACCCCCACGTCTGTCCATTGCCAGGTGTCATTCTCATCTTCACCAAATCTCTTCCTGGTTCATTGATTTCGGATTGTTCGAATTGTGGTTTTGGTCCCTTTATTGTCCTCAAGCTTGGGATTCAGTATGGAGTTTAGTCCATGAACGTTGATTTGATGAGTAATTAGGGTTAGTTTAGCATTGATTATACGGTTAAAAAAGTGCCAAATTTGGATTGGTATAGATGCTTTTTTGCTAAATTTTTCGATTTTAAGTGTTCAATATCGTTGTTAAAAGTGTTATAATAAAGATTAAGTGTTAAATTCATTAAACAACATTCAGGGTTTGAATCCTAATATCGTGGATGAAACAAATCAGATTAAGAGAGACGTTATAATGAACATCTTATGTAACAAAATCCCCGTGAATTGACTAATAGACCAGATTTCATGTGGTTGTACGAGAAAATATTACAAAGAAATGAAATATAAAAAATAAATTAATTTAAATAATATTCAAATTCTTTAATATTATGATACATCAAATATACATTTCAAATGCTTTGTAAGTAATGAATATAAATTATTTATAAAAACTATGATATTTGAAATATAAATTCTAAATACTATTTAGAACCCGTTAATTATTCTAGTTAAAATGTTGATATGATTTTTTTACTCTTATTAATTGTTTTTAAGTACAGGAAGTAAATTCCAAATTTGAGTGTATAAGAGGGACTAGAAACCTAATTTGACCCATTTTTATAATTGACCAGTATTTGTTGTTTTCTTCCACCTAATCTTAGTTCATGTTCTAAGTACAAAATCATTCCCCTGATGTGTACACGTACAGTTAGTTAAACCCAGGCGTTTCGAGGTTAGCTTAAATATTTCTTCATTATTTTAGGGTTCATCAGAGTTGTTCTTTGTGGGGCCCCAAATTACGAGCTTTGTAATAATTGGTAATTATGAAGAGAGATTTGCACGAGTGAAGTCAATGCTTTCTGGTGAACGAAACATTCTACACAGTTGCTGGAATGTATATATAGGCCTGTTTATCCTGTTTCTTTCTCAGCGAAATCCGAAGAAAACCCTAAACCCGAAAACTCGAACACCATTTTCTATAATGGATTCAGTGGGGACGATGTTAGAAGAAGACTGGAGTTGTCTCGGTGGGATGTACACTACTGATCAAGAAGCCGATTTCATGGCTCAATTGCTTAGCAACCGTCCCTTACCTGTTGATGATCTGCTCGATGGCGGCTCGAACTCGAAGTTCGAATCGGTTTTTTGGCTTGCAAATCATGAGAATATGACTACTTTCTACTGTTTTTCGGATATGAGTAGTTATAGTCCTGGTAGTAAAGCTCTTTTTTCGTCTTCGTCGAGCCAAGAGAGCTTTTATCTGAGTGATTCTCATCTAGTTTCGATGGATTTTCGTATGGAAGACGGCACGAACACGAGCTCGTTCCTCGTCGGAGCCGATGATTGTTTGAACGGTGATAAAATCATGCAAGAACATGTTTCTGATAAGATTTTGGACCCCAAAAGGGGACTCGGTATGGCGAAACCGGAACCGATTGTAGCCGAGAAGAAAAGCAGCATCGTATCAGAGAATTCGAAGAAAAGAACGAGGAGTTCCGGAGATGTGAGTTGCGAAAACACAAATGCATCTTTCTGTATCGGTGTTTTTGATGTAGCATTTTGTTGATCATAATTTGTTTACCGGTGCAGGTTCAAAAGACCATGAAAAATGCAAGGTCAAAAAAGAACATCTCGATCGAGGAAGACGTCCGTAGTGCCGGTCTCAACGAGCAAAGCTGGACCAGTTGCTCGGCCGAGGATGATTCGAATGCCTCTGGGGATGCAGCACTAAATTTGAATGGCAAAACAAGAGCAAGCGGGGGAGCTGTCACTGTTCCTCAAAGCCTTTATGCAAGGGTAAGTACATGTCATTAAATCTATCAAGCATTTCTGAAGATTAAATCGGAAACCGACCGATTAACCTGTCCGTCCTTATCGATCTATCAGAAAAGAAGGGAAAGAATCAACGAAAGATTGCGAATTCTACAGAATCTTGTCCCCAATGGAACAAAGGTTGATCTTAGTACAATGCTTGAAGAAGCAGTCCAATATGTAAAGTTCTTGCAGCTGCAGATTAAGGTAACCAACTGAGCATTGCTTTGATTGATCGTTTTCGCATGATATTTCCTTTCGAATCTAATTCGGTTTCCTTATTCCGGAATCTCGCAGCTGTTGAGTTCCGATGATCTATGGATGTACGCGCCCATTGCATACAACGGAATGGATATCGGACTCGATCTCAAGGCTGGGACGGCAATGAGATCATAGAAAGGCGTTGTCGGACCGTCGCGGTCCGAAACATAGGCTATCCGCAATTTCTCTAAATTGAAATAAGTCGTTGCCGTTTTGTAATGGATTTATTTCTTGAAAATCTTGATTCATAATAAAAAATAACTACCACAAATCATTCATCGAATTTTTATAATTCAAAGAGGACTAAACATGTAATTAGACCACTCAACCAAGGGAGCCAATTCCCCTGCCAGCCCCCTGGCTTTACCCCTCCGATTGATTAAGTCGTTTTATCATATGTAAATTCGCTCGACATTTATTCCTATTTAAATCTTATCTCTGATTAATTAAGTCGTTTTATCATATGTAAATTCGTTCGACATTTATTCCTATTTAAATCTTATCGTATGCGAATTTTATCCGCATGTATCTTAATTCCGATTCTGACTTTGATTCCGATTTCGAGCCATAGGTTTATATAAAGAACAAATAGCCATTTATTGTTCCATTTTACATATCAATGATATGAATGCTTCAAATCCAAATGAATAAACGTGGAACAAGAAACCACATCACAACAATGGATTTCTGTCCACCTGTCTTCATGCCTGGTCGCTCGCGTGAGTCGGAACTTCGGCTTGACCGTCTAGAGGCATGTATTGTGCCATTATAGCCCGGATTTCCGTATCCATGTACGACTGCAAAAGTAGTTAAACACATGCCATCAGGGGGAATCCAGTTGAGGATGCCGATCACAATGCCTCGGTTCCGGGTACCGGAATCCAAGCCTAGCCGATAATGCACTAACTTACCCTTAATCTGTATTTGTATATGAGATAAGCCCCGCCACCGGAAATCGCCAAGCCAATTACAATGACCCAAATGGCAGCCCATGATGCTCTTACTTCGGCACCGGCCTTACCTGAGACAATGCAAGGAGTTGATATAAAAACACTGGAGGCACAAATCATATATCCACAACTCACCTATGCAGGCACCCCGGTCCCGGTCCCGGATATACAAACGATCTCCGGTGCACGTGCACTCGTAAGTTCCCCAAGTGTTTTGGCAGCGACATTCGGGGCAGTGGCACAATTTCTTCTCTTTGCATTCATCGATATCTGCATGAAGTTGAAGCAAGTTTCTTCACCTCTAAGATTAAAATCGAGCGAGTTCGAGTTCCTAATCACGGCACGGAACGTATGTTCGTTCATTCGGGACTCACCTTCGCAGGTTTTGATACCGTCACCTTTAAACCCTGGAGGACACTCGCATTTACTGTTCCCAACCTCCTGTTTACGCAGCCTTGATTAGTACATAAACTCGTTAAAACCGGACAAAGCTTACGAGTGTTGATACTAACCGAACAAGCCGTGTAAGTAATTTCGTCTCGCGATTCATGCCAGCAACCTCCATTGTTGATTCTGCACCTTCCGGTGCCACTAGCTGATTGGTAAAAACAGAAACAGGTGAGAAATGCCTTGTCATGCAAGAAAGCAGTGTCGCCTCATCAAACATAAGCAAACACGATAAAAAATCAATCGGGCACTGCACCTTCGCAATGACGGTAACCGTCTCCGCTAAATCGGACACCATCGACGAAGGGACACTCGCAGACTCTCCCACGGAACGTGTCCTGAGAGGGTTAACAGAGTCAGAAAGCAAGCATAGAACCTCTAATCAAGGAAATTCTCTGATTTCATACCCTGCAGGCTGTGAGATTGGCTGCTTTATCTTGCCAACAACCACCATTGTTCTCCAAGCATTCATTCGTCTCCACATCTGCCACACAAGCAGCCGTGATCAAGTCCGTCTTGATCGTCTCTAACAACAAAGTACAACAGAAAAACTCACCGCTGCTCAAACAAATAGAAGGCTCGGTCGTCTCCTCAAAACCGGCACAGATGGCCTTCATAACAGCAACTTTGGCCAGCTTTCCTGTATGCAAAACACATCAGAAATGAAGACATCTAAGTGAAACATTGGCATCATCGACATGAACCTCGATATTGGTGATTGTTAACGACGATCGTTGGCAATATGGTAACATCTCCCCGAGGACCTTTCCCCACCTATACAGAATTAGCACATAATAAAGGATCAAAGATGACAATACTGCACCATAAATAACCAAGCAATGTGGGAATTACTTGAGCATCTTGTTCTTCTTTTAGAACAGGATTCTCTGCATCTACATTAGGGTCTCCCATACACTGTTCAATCTGTTTAACATCAATGCCAAGAGCTCTGATAACATCATCTGCACAGTCCTTGTTGTATCGTTTCGCCTTCATCGGGCATCGTATTTTAAAATCTGTCACATAGTCCCACCACATCCAAGGCTTACCGGTCCCGTTTGCGACCCTGAAAACGCATAGCTGCCGTAAATTCTCAATGACAACGTCTTTCCCCTCGTATCCGGTCGTAAAATCTTGTTCGGGATCCGGCGCACAGTATCTTCCATAGTTGATGCACTGAGATTTACACTGCAAGCTTAGGGTGAAGGCCTGAGGGCAGTACCAAGTTATATAATGTGGCGTGAACTGCGTATAGCCACCTTTTTCGAGTATCTGTGCAGCACCCTTGAAGTCCTTGACGAATTCCATTAGTATATCGCATTTAACGCCGCATTCATCGTTGCTGTTGGTCCAAAGCTCGTATTCGACACGGTCGTCGGGATGAGGAACGGCCTCTCGCCAGTCGAGATTAACGTTGACGATATCACCGCCGTTGATCGTTTTCTTTAGAGTTTCGCCGAAGCTTTTGTCGACAAGAGCCGACGGGATCGATATGTTCTCGATGTATTTGGCCGACGATCGATCCTCTTCCGGCGTGTTCATGGTGATCAATCCTTCTGCAACGTCGTCGGCGACAAGAACTGCATGAGCACCGGCCTGCTGTGCATTCCAAACCTTTATGGAAAAGAAACAATCTGGGAAAATAAAAACGAATCGTAAACACTAAAATTCATAGAAATTAGTGAAAAATTGAGCTCAAATGAGAAAAGGGTGTACGTGTACCTCCACGATCGATCAGAACGAAAGTGGGAAGAGCGCCGGGCTTGGATTTGAAGGAGTTGCCGGACTCACCGAAGCTTCTACAACCCTTCCGGTTCACCTTGGGGTAAACCACGACGCCGGCCAAGGTTCCGCCGTATTGGGGTATCCCAAAGTTTCCGATTGCGCTGTCGTGGGTTCCTTTAATTTTCTCCGGCGAAGTCACCCTCAAGCTGTTCTTTTCCACCACGAATCTCGCGCAACAATTCATTAACAAAGAAAACAAAACAATCCCGTGAAGAAGAAGATGATGACATTTCTGCAGCTTCATCTCTTACTTTTTTATTTACACGTGTTTTTTTTTCTGGGATTAATGCTTGAATCAGTTTTAAGGAAAGATAGTGAAGGAGGAGGAGGAGGAAGATAGTGTAAGAAAAAAATATACATGCGAGTAAATGAGTAGTTATATTTTCATTTATGGAATGATTCAGATTTTAGTCCTGAATTTAATAATTTTTTAACAATTTGAGAATTTTACATCATCACAAGGATTAAACATGAAACAATATAAAATTTAAAGATTAAATTTAAGGACTAGATGTTAATTTATCGCTTTCATTTAAAGTAAAAATAGGATCTAATTTGTTGTCTATGTAAACACTATATATTGCGCACGTGGAGTTAAAAAATAGTTAAAATTATGAAACACGTGTCCATCACTCCAAGAAAGTGGGACAGTTAGGGCTTGGATCGAGTAAATTAATGTTACGTAGTCAATGTCCGGATCTGACAAAAGATGTTAATTAATTAAGGGGATATTTAAATTTTAGCCTTTAAACTTATCCATTTTTTCACATTGGGGCTTAATTCTTTTTTGTTCGCAATGATCCCAAAATTTGTCTAATTTTTTCATATTAGTATCTAGGAGGAGACAAATTAGGACTGATAGTAGAGGGTGGTCTGAAGTCTCACTCTTTCATGATGATTATAAGGTAAATGTTCACCATCCATTAACTGAATCATCGATCACTATCATCTTGGAGATAACGAAAGATATGGAAAACAGTATTGTCCTTGTCCAGTTCGATGTTTGAGTTATTGTTACAGACTTCATATTGTGTCTGGTAATAAAATCGATTTAAATTTTTTTTTAGATTTGTCACAGAATTCAACCATAATGGCATGTAATTGAGTATAAGGTAACGATAGTGATGTGTCATTGCAAGGTAATACTGTGATATCATTAAAAAGTAAAATATAACGTCATAAGGTAAATTTTTAAGGGTAAATTATGTCTTTAATGTTAAAACTATCAGTTTTGGTCCGTTTTAGTACCTAAACTTCCAATTTTTCATAATCATATCTAAAGTTTATTTTTTGTTTCATTTTAGTACCCATGTTCAAATTTTAACGTTAAGTTTTTTAAAAAATTGAAAGTTTATGTACCTAAACATATCAATTACTAGTTTATATACTAAATGTGTTAAGTTTTTAATAGTGAAATACTGAAATGAAAGAAAAACTAAACATTATGTATTATTTTGAAAAATTTGTAAGTTTAGGTACTAAAACGAACTAAAACTAATAGTTTAGGTAAATGCGTAGTTTACCCAATTTTTAACTGAGAGTGAAAAAGAAACAAAAGTTATAGTTGGGTACTAAAAGTGTAGTTTACCCTACAAGTTAAAGTCAATCCAATACCAATTACACACGTTAAGGGACAACCTGGAGATTGCAAGTAAAGGAGCTGGACTTGTAGATCTCAACAACGGCGTCGTTTTCCCACTATCCAAATTGTACTTTTGTTCTTATCTCGCAAACCACCTTTCATTTCCCAACCTTGCACGTGAAAACCACGTACTAATTAAATATCGCCAAATTTCTTGAAAAAATCTTATCGCTTCTCAATTCGCAACGCGTGACAATCAGCGACGGAACATTCTTTGTCAGCACTTCACGGTTAACTTTTTTTGTCTGATAAATTAGTCCCTCTGAGTCAATTTATCACATTTTAGTCATAACACTTTATGAAAAATGAGAATTTAGTTTAATTGTGTAAAACTATTACGACTATACAGTTAAATTGCTGATCTTGAAATAAACAATTCAATAATTTAAAAGTAATAAATTATAAAAGAATTGACAAAATAAATTATCAAGAATTAACGATTCAAGTTCACGTATTTAGGAATAAATAAACTAATTCCTCATGTTTAGTAAAGTACAAAGACTAAATTATATAAAAAAAGGTACTCATTTTTTGTGAAGTAGAGGGACACATTCATAATTAGGCCTTTGTTTTTTAATTTGATTATCAGAATTTGGTCCTCTTACTTTATGAAAATTTATATGTAATAAATTGTTAAAAAAATAGTTCAGTTTCATGTGTTTACCAATAAATAGACCACACTTTTAGGTTTTGAAAGTACAAATGATCAAATTATAAAAAAAAATTAAAGTATAGGAACTAATTCTCAGTTTTTATGGAGTATAGGGATGCATTTTTAATTGGACCTATTCAAAAGGCTTTTTTTTTCTGATTTAAATAACGACGGAATTCAATCATTTCTAAGAACCGAATAAAATGCAATCCATTTTTTAATTTAAAAAATTATTTTTTCGTCGGATCTTATCAGCACTAAGTTGAAACCCTAGTTTTCTTAAATTTTTTTTCCTCATTCGAAGAAGATGGGATTATGGGAAGCTTTTCTTAATTGGCTTCGAAGGTAAGTTTCCCTTCCTTGTTTGATTACCGAGAAAATAAAACCAAAGAATCAAAGAAAGCTTTATTTTTTTTCAAATTCTTGTGTTAATTTCAAATGTGAAATCTAACCGATCTCATTACTGAATTTCACACTTCGCTTTTAATTTCTTAAATCGATGATGTGGATCAAGCATGTAAGTGACTGGAATATGCGTCTTGTGGTTGTTTTTGTTTATTGGATTTTAGAGTGGAATTTATTGTTTTTGTTGTGTATTGGATTTTCTTCCCTTTATAGATAGATATTACAATTAGAAATGCCAATGTTGATAATTACATTTTAAGAAGGTTCATAAATTGCTATAAACATGCTTTTATATGGCTGCTTGGTTTGGTTGCTTTTAAAAGATAGCTAGAAAAGGGATTTCTTTTTCCCCACATCCATGCTCAAGGTGGGTGTTATTGCGTTGGGAAAGTGGTTGTTGCAGCTGGTTGCAATAGTTAAACTTACAGGGGTGAGATTAATAGGGTATCTTGCTGAAGTGCTTTAGATAAGGATCACTTGTCATAGTGGGATAATCTAGATCGCAATCATAGTACCGCGCTTTAACGGGGAGAGTGTTGATTGAGGTATGGCCGGTTTTTGCGGAATATGTTTTTCCTCGTTGGCATAACGAACTACAACAGCATCATTCACTGCTCTCCGTCCTTGTTTTCTTCTCGAGTCAAATTAGCAAACCGCCTAAGAGCAGTTTCTGTCATGTAACCGACGGTAACAAAAGGAAGGCTTTAGTTGTTGCTGGTGGGACTCGGGAGGGTTGTTTATTTATTGTTTCAGGAGATGTGAAGTGTGATTGGTTGAAGCAGCCCCATATTTATCTTGTTTCCTTTGACCATTTTCCTTATTTGCATTCCTTTTACGGAATACCTTTTAAGTTTAGAAGAGGTCCTGATGTGTGTGTCTGATTGACCTTTTCTTATACATTTTGTTTGGATTCGGTTTCCTGCACGGCCTCTATTTTATTTCTATTCCTTGTAGTCTCTTTTTCAAGCAAGAAATGGAGCTATCATTAATAGGCCTACAGAATGCTGGAAAAACATCCCTGGTTAATGTCATTGCTGTAAGTGAATACCCGATATGAGTTATAACCTTGTTTCGTTTGTTTGATATCTTAATCTCTTAGCTTGTTGCTGATAACTGGACTTCTTTGTCTGTATCTTATTTCAAGACTGGTGGATATAGTGAAGATATGATACCAACGGTAAGTCATGTGGCGAAGAGCCAATACCGACATTCATTTTTTAGAATTTGTTATTTGCATACAGCGAGTGTTTGTTTTGGTCAGTTTTGTTTCTTTTAATTTTCATGACATCTCTTCTGTTTGCAGGTAGGATTCAATATGAGGAAGGTAACTAAAGGAAACGTCACGATAAAATTATGGGATCTAGGGGGTCAACCTAGGTTTCGAAGCATGTGGGAGAGATACTGTCGTGCTGTTTCAGCTATTGTGTATGTCATTCGTACTCCTTTATTTATCATTCTCTTCATGGGATAAACTTGGAAAATATTACGATATTTAATTTTTCTTTTATATGTTTTTATTCAAAGGGAGTTGTTTCTATATCGAAATATAAATGTTATGAAAATATACAGGTTAGATTTTAAAGGATATGAAACTCGCGTTCTCCGGTGAGCTTTTATCCAGCATGCCCTAAACACATAGTTGAGGGATATGCTTTTGTTATCATTTCCTTTTGCTTTGCAAGACGCATACATATATGGTATCTACCATGTAGAACTTGCATGCTTTATTACCCTCGTTGCGTAGGTAAATTTTTCGACGGTACGTTGTCTCCGTAACGATGTCCGACTACTTACTGGGATTTTCTGCAATATGCAGTTATGTTGTGGATGCTGCCGATAACGATAACTTATCTGTCTCGAGAAGAGAGCTCCACGACCTGTTAAGTAAACCCTCATTAAGCAGCATTCCCCTGCTGGTTCTAGGAAACAAGATCGACAAACCGGAAGCCTTGTCCAAGGAGAACTTGGCAGAGCAAATGTAAGAGCCCTGTAAATTTTCCAGAAACCGACATAAACAACCGTTGATCTTAATGCAAATGTAAATTTTCATTCATGTTTTGCGGTGTTGGACCATGCAGGGGCCTGAAATCGATTACCGACAGAGAGGTTTGTTGCTATATGATCTCATGCAAGAATTCTACCAACATCGATACAGTGATCGATTGGCTGGTGAAGCATTCGAAATCGAAGAATTGAATTCACAAGAAGTTTGTCTGTTGTTTTCCCAGCTTCTGTTGTAGTTGCTTCTTGGTACAGGGTGGTTGAATATATGACTTCGATGTGTGTCTGCCCAACAGGGTTTGTTAATGTCTGATCGACACCATTGTCTTAAATTTTCCAACTTGGCTCGAATCATAAGTATTATATGAAGAGCGTTGGGATTTGTTGATATCGAATTTTAAGTTTTATATGTTTTTTGGACCGTTAGACAATGAAAATTGATGGTTGAAATTAATAATAATAAATGAGAAAAAAAGTACAAAAAATGGGTTATATCTAATTTAAAATTTTTAATGTAAACTCATTTAATCCAATTATTTGAAAAAATTATAAGATAGTATTTGTTTATAATTTTTTTAAGCATACATCATGTAAATGCCGACTTTGATATAAATTTATGTGACCTTGAATAATTGGTGCATTTTAAATATAAAATCAACATCTCATTACAAATTAAATCAAATTCGAAGTTAAATTAGGAAGATAATGATGTTGAAAAAGAATTAAGGAAATAAAATCATGAGGTATTGTTCTAATATCTAAGTAAAAGGTAAATTACGTATTTAGTATTTAAATTATTAGTTTTGATATGTTTTAATACTTAAGCTTTCATTTCATTTTAATAGCCATCGTTAAAAACTTAACGCATTTAGTATCTAAAATATTAATTTTGGTTCGTTTTAGTACCTAAACTTTTTTTTTCAAAATTTATCTTTAAATTTTAAACATGAGTACTAAAATGAAACCAAAACTAAAGTTTTTAACTATAGATATTAAAATAAAATAAAAACTAAACTTTAGATATAATTTTAAAAAAATTAAAAGTTTTAATAATAAAACGGATAGAAACTGATAACTCAGATACTAAAAACGTATAATTTACCCTTACATAAATAAGCATGGTTTTGATTGTCGAATGTCTGCATCACGGTTCTTGGCATTCTTGCCGTTTCTGCTAGCGGTTTGACGGCTTTGAGGGAAGAAGATACATATCCCAGAAAAAAACAATGAATAGTTTCCCTACAAAAGCAGCTAAAGCCGTCAACTTTTTAAATCAAAACCTTCTCAGAGGCATCAAATCATTGTGCGGTGAAGTTCAACAAGACTCCAAGTCGGTTCAATTAGATTCCTCATCTTGCATGCAAATTTTGCAGCTCTGCATCGATTCTAAAGCCAAACGTGAAGCCCTTTCAGTTCACGGTCAAATTATAAAAAATGGGTTTTCTTCAAATGCCCATCTAGGTACCAAATTAATCATTTTTTATGCCAAATCCGGTGATATGATGGCCGCGAATAAGGTGTTCGATGAAATGTCTGAAAGAACTGTTGTGTCATGGACGGCTATGATTTCAGGGTATTCCCAAAATGGGTCTTTCGATAATGCTTTGTTGGTGTTTTCGGAGATGAGGAGAGCGGGTTTCAAGGGCAATCAGTTCAGCTACGGGAGTGCGCTGAAAGCTTGTACTGGTTTGAGGTGTTTTAAAGGTGGGATTCAAATTCAAGGGTGTATTGAGAAAGGGAGGTTCGTTGGGAACTTGTTTGTGCAGAGTGGGTTACTTGATTTGCACGCAAAGTGTGGAAACATGGAGGATGCGTGTCGGTTGTTTCGTGGAATGGAAGAAAGGGATTTGGTTTCTTGGAACGTGATGATTGGTGGATTTGCTTTTCAGGGTTTTGCTTCCAATGCATTTAGGTTGCTGCGAGAAATGATAAGAGAAGGTTAGCTTTCATTCTTCGTTTTTATATGGCAAAATGTACTTGCTTTGTGGTGTTTTGCAACTGCTCGAACCCGAGTCTTCTACTTCTAGGGATATAGAGCCTCGTTTTGATGGTCGGAAATAACTGTACTGTGTAAACTAATCTATGAAGACATAGGTGGTGTTAATTTTTACTGTGCAAGCTCTTCAAACCACTTATGTCTGCGTCGCGCAGACCACACGGCTTCGCAGACTGTTTATTTTTTAGAAGACAGAAGCTCTTCAAACGTCTGCGCGAGCTCTTCTTAATGTAGACTTGGTTTTATGTCTTCAAAGGTCTTTAAACCTCTTCAAGAACAATTATAAAATAAAATTATTTATTAAAATAATTTTAAATAATTTAATAAGATTATTTATTTTAAAATAATTTATTTTAAAATAATTTATTTTAAAATAATTTATTTTAAAATAATTTATTATAAAATAATTTATTTTAAAATAATTTATTATAAAATAATTTATTTTAAAATAATTTATTTTAAAATAATTTATTATAAAATAATTTATTATAAAATAATTTATTATAAAATAATTTATTATAAAATAATTTATTTTAAAATAATTTATTTTAAAATAATTTATTATAAAATAATTTATTTTAAAATAATTTATTATAAAATATGGATTGATTTATTTTAAAATAATTTATTTTAAATAATTTATTAGTATGGATTGATTTATTTTAAAATATGGATTGATTTATTATTGTAGTTGTATGGATTGATTTATTTTAAATAATTTATTAGTATGAATTGATTTATTTTAAAATATGGATTGATTTATTTTAAATAATTTATTAGTATGGATTGATTTATTTTAAATAATTTATTTGTATAGATTGATTTATTTTAAAATATGGATTGATTTATTATTGTAGTTGTATGAATTGATTTATTTTAAAATAATTTATTTTAAATAATTTATTAATATGAATTGATTTATTTTAAAATATGGATTAATTTATTATTGTAGTTGTATGGATTGATTTATTTTAAATAATTTATTAGTATGGATTGATTTACTTTAAAATATGGATTGGTTTATTTTAAATAATTTATTAGTATGGATTGATTTATTTTAAAATATAGTTGATTTATTTTAAATAATTTATTAGTATGGATTGATTTATTTTAAATAATTTATTTGTATGGATTGATTTATTTTAAAATATGGATTGATTTATTATTGTAGTTGTATGAATTGATTTATTTTAAATAATTTATTAGTATGGATTGATTTATTTTAAAATATTGATTGATTTATTTTAAATAATTTATTATTTTAGTTGTATGGATTATTTAAATTTCAGTATTGTAAAACTAAAATTATTTAAATCTCAGTATTACAAAACTCTTTTCAGTTTAAAAAATCAGTTTATTTATATTTCAGTTCATTTTAACAGTCTGCAGACGTTAAAAAACAAACAGTCTTCTTCTTACAGACTGTAGACTTTTGGTCCACCTCTTTTGTTGTAGATGCCTGCAGATGTGGTCCGCAGACTGCAGACCTTTTACCTCTGCAAAAACAAACACCACCTTAGTGTCAGTAACTTAATAACTACTAAATCTTTGTTTTCTCTATTAGTATATTGTTGATATTATTCACAGTTTACCATTTTCCTTTGTCGCCGTCTTATTTTGACGTTTCTAACTGCATGGTCTGTTCCGCTTTTGATTAACGTTAAAAAGTTCACCTTGTTTCTGAAACACTCTGCTTCAATAGGAAAGCTCCCTGATTGCTTCACAATGGGCAGTGTTTTGAGAGTCCCCGTTGGAGATGATGGTCTGGTGAAGATTGGACAAGTACATGGACTGATATATCGACTAGGGTTTGAATCGTATAATGTGTTGGAGGGATCACTAGTTGATGCATATTCTAAATGTGGAAGTTTACAGTGTGCTTCGAAGTTATATCAAAATATGTCAATGAAAGACATTATATCATGCACGGCCTTGATCTCTAGTTTTGCACGTGAGGACAAGCGAAATAGAGATGCCTTGGATCTCTTTAAAGAGATAAATTCGATGGAAGTGGCAATGGATGATATGATGTTGTGCTCTGTTCTTAATGTATGTGCCAATATTGCAGAATTGAGCTTGGGAAGGCAGGTCCATGCTTGTTCTTTAAAATGTCACCCCGCCAATGATGTGGCAATGGGCAATGCTCTAATCGACATGTATGCTAAATGTGGGGAAATAAAAGATGCTAATAAGGTATTCAATGAAATGGATGAGAGAAATGTAATTTCATGGACGTCGCTTATTGCTGGATACGGAAAGCATGGATATGGACACGAGGCAATCACATTATATGAGAAAATGGAGCATGAAGGCATGAAGCCTAATGATGTAACTTTTTTGACTCTCTTATTTGCTTGCAGCCATACTGGGTTGATTAAGAAAGGTTCAGAGTTGTTTAATTCAATGGTCAGCAAATATGCGATATTGCCTCGAGCTGAGCATCTTTCCTGCATGGTGGATCTCTTTGCACGTGGAGGGCAGTTAGAAGCTGCTCATAATCTGATATGCGAGATGAATATTAAACCTACCGCATCACTTTGGGGTGCCATTCTCGGGGCTAGTAACATCTATGGCAACATGTACATAGGAGAAGAGGCGGCAACACACCTTTTTAATATGGATCCAAAGAAATCAGTTAACTACATTGCCTTAGCCGGCTTATATGCAGGATCTGGTGCATGGGAAAGTGCTCGGGAGACACGTAAATTAATGGATGAGAGAAGTGCTGTGAAGGATCCAGGATACAGCCTTCTGAGCTCTACAAATAAGGAAATGGTGCTTTCGAAGCCAAGTTGAAATTGTCAAGTTATCTTATTATTGTTAATATGGAAGATGCAGCTGTATTTACAATATCACAAGAAAACACTTAAATTTACGGTGACGGTAGAGGAGATGGAGCATTGGTTTTGTTTATTTTCTTTCTACTCGATGGACATTATTCTGCTTGACTAATGTCCGGTTCCGGTAAGGCAGGATCCCCTAAGCAGAGAAAACAGACAACTAGTAATGGTGGGTTTGCTTTTCGGATCAAGGTAACTACATCGGTGTATTGACCTATGAATGAGGATGAAGAGGCTGAATCTTTTTGAAGAGCAATGTCAATCACCTGCTACTCGAGATTCAAACATAGGTTTCTTTCTTTATATACATTCGGATAATCAAATTTGGAACCTATCGTGCTCTTAGCAAGATCGAATGCCGAATTTTGTTGCTTGTATTGTTTTTACCTGGCCTATTTATTTATTTTGCTACTTGTTTCTGAAATTTATTAGGGAACCAAAAAGAAGAAGAAGAAAAATGCAAAGCAATGAGACTTTGGGCATTCCGAGAATTGAACTTGGGAATCATACCACTAGACCAAATGCCCTATTTTACCACTTAATCATATATGTTTATAGCAATATACTAGACAGCTAACCTCTTTTTTTACTTGTTAGTGCCTCTTAAAAGTGCATTTGCATCTTGGATATGCTTTGAATCAATTTTAGAATATCACACGACAAATTGTCATATTACACTCAATAATATAACGTCTAACTTAGACAACCGCTAATTTTTTAACGAGAAATGACGAGTTTAGAACATAATGAATAGTTGGGTGACCATTTTGTAACTTTCAATGGTTGAAGTTAATAAAACAACATTTTATAATTAAATGATCATTTTATAACTTTTAATAGTTAAAGGATTTAAGAAAATAATACCCTATAGTCGGGTTCCATTTGTGTGCTTTACCCCAAAATCAATTAGATTAAAATGGCAAACACAATGGTAATTGCTTTAAAAAGGGAGAAAAATGATGAGTGAAGTGGGGTATGAATCCATCAACAGATCTTCCTTTAACTTGTTGCCCGTAATTCACTTCAACTTTTCCCAGGCTTATATATCAGAGACACCACTTACAAGGGCAAAAGAATCAAAGCTCAAATTCAATGGCGACATTTAGGGACTCAGCAGAAATGCAGTGCCTGCCACAAGACTGTCTACTTGGTCGATAAGCTCACTGCCAATAACAGGGTTTTCCACAATGCTTGCTTTCGTTGCCACCATTGCAAGGGCACTCTCAAGGTAACCCTAAACCATATAACATTAGCTTTCATTAGCACTGTTGCATTTTTGGCATTACAAGATCTCTTCTTCTTCTTTTTGTTTTTCTTTTGTTGCAGTTCAGCAATTACAACTCTTTTGAAGGGTGTTGTACTGCAGGCCTCACTATGATCAGCTCTTTAAGAGAACTGGTAGTCTTGACAAGAGTATTGAAGGTAAATTCCTTGCTTAACTTTCCTTTGGATGTTCGTGTTCGGTTTAACCCCGAGGTTTTTTCCTTCTTTAAACAGGGTACGAGAATATTTGCCGACGGATGGTGTTTCAGACGATCACGCTTGATTACCATCCGTCGACAGGGTCTAAACTCGAATACTTTTAGAATACATCTGTTCTAATTTCTCTCTTTTGTTTCAGGAACACCAAAGATTGCCAAACCTGAAAAACAAATAGAGAATGAGGTAATTCTGGGGATATTCTATGTTATCTTTCCACCAAATCACCCAATAATCTTCACTGATTGGTAATGAGTTGGATGCAACAGAATGCACAGAAAGTGGTGAATCTGTTTTGTGGCACTAAAGAAGAATGTGTAGGGTGCAGCAAACCTGTGTACCCAATTGAGAAGGTAAAAACCCCAGAAATTTCATCATATAACATATGCCAAAATTCCCAACATTGATGTGAAAAAGAATGAAAAGTTTTGATTATCAGTTGATGTTTCTTCAAGGTTACCGTTGATGGGACATCATACCACAGAAGCTGCTTCAAGTGCAGCCATGGAGGTTTGCACCATTAGTCCATCAAACTACATTGCTCATGAAGGGAAACTCTACTGCAAATATGACCATATCCAACTCTTCAAGGAGAAAGGCAACTATAGTCAGCTTGAGGGTGACAAAGAAGAAGACCCCGCCACTGAAAAACTCATCCATGGAAGTTGCTGCTGAGTCATAGCCGAGTTGGGTCATCCATGTCCATTGCTGAGTTGGCTTGCCCCATGGGGTTTCTTTTTGTCTTCCTTTTCCTAAATATTTTCGCCTTGCAAAGTGTTTTACATTGGCATTGGGTTTTGTAAGTGGAGTGAGCTTTAAAACTAAGACTACTCATGGTTTGTTTCAGCACAAATTATACCACTGATTTGACACGAAAACTGCAGCAAATGAATTCATTTCTACTGAGAATGGCATAGAACATAAAAGAACTACACAACAGATAAATCTCAAATGGAAACAAACAGTTCCTATCCCCTATGTACATTCTAGTTTCTGTGTTTTCCGGCATCCCAAGTGCAGAGGTATTCGAAATGAATAAATATCAACTGCAATCCCATAATATTCTCAAAAAGAACAAAAAGAAAGAATCCCTGCATTTGAAACCAATAATGGAACCTACTATTCAAAAGCGGCCCTGCTGGAGAGGAGGAATCCTATGTATATACAACCGGAAAGGCCTTCATCGTTTTCTTTTCTCAAAGACTAAAGGTACTGAAGATGATCACTGGTTTGCCTACTACAAATAGGGATGATCACTGCTGAGTGCTACAAAAAGCGTCATTCAAACACCTCATTGCTCATTTTATCAAATCATCAAACCATCTGCGTATTAAATAAACAATATTGCATGATGTCAAAAGATAAATGACTAACAATAAACAAAGTTTGAAGGGAATGACAATCAATGAGAAATCCCGTATATGCTGTGTACAGGTTCCTTGTGCATATGTTCATGTGCAAAATAAATCATGGGAATAGACGTCAATTTACCTCTTTCTGATTGTTTCTTCCTTTAAGAGTTTTCGTAGCTGCTTCAGCAAAAGCTTGTGCTGCCTCTGCATCAGCTTCAGCAACCTCTGCCTCTCTTGCTGCTTCTTCAGCTTCTGCTATAGCAGCTTCTGCTTCTGCAACTGCTCGGGCAGCAGCGGCAGCAGCTTCTTGTGGTTTCATATTCCGCATCCTAGCTAACTCTAAATCAATCTGCGATTTTGTGAGGATTTTTACATCATCCCTATCAAATCGAGGAGAAACCCTTTGCCTTGCCTCCGAAAATAGAACGGAATGATTCCTCCTCCTGTCTGAAAATGACAGAGCCGGTGCAATCCTATACCTGCGTTTCACCTGCAAGCAACAGTATTGAATTAATCAAAGCCACATATCAGGAAAAACAACCCATTATTTAACCAGACATCAACATTCTAGAAAAAGGTCAAAAGAAAAACTAGCACAAACTTGGTAAGGCAGTACTAGGACTATAAAGAAGCCTTTGTGTGTTACACAGCGGACTGAGATCAGGCTATACCATAATACCTTCTCAGTTCAGACCAATCACTTTTTAACTTTTTTACGGAAATTTTATTGATGCCATAGACACAGATTCAGAGGGATTCTTAAGATTTTTACACAAAAAAAAACTGCAATCATTTCGGCATTACACAGACAACCAGACCTATTCACTGTAATACCATAGTTCACAATAATCATTTTTACTGGTTCCAGGAATGCCATAAACAACAGACTGATAGTGCTCCTTAAACTTAAGATCAAATACAACCCTTCAATCACGCATATACGTACAACACCTTCAAAAATCCTAAACCATTTAAAAAATTATAACAGAAAACACCCACAGGCAACAAAATACATGTAAAAAATATATTTATTATTTAATGAAACAAGATATATCTACTACTAATTTCTCAGACAACAAACTTCATGACTTGGAATAAAGTAGCATCAAATATGTTTCCATGCAGCAAATAAATTACCTTAATCAGTCTACCACAAGCTGTTAAATACTTTAACTTCGCTGACAAGAGCCTCTTAAAGTCAGGAGGTGCCCAATATTGCTCCTAAAGAAGTAGGAAAAAAGGGTAAATCATGCAAACAAAGTGAACACATTTCCTGAGGTAAACAAATGCAAAAGCCAACAGAACTACTAGAAAACATTTGTGCTAAACATGGTGGGTGCCGTCATCACCAAAATTCGAGGTGGAAGGGGAACATTGTATCCAAGTAAGCAGATTAAACTGATGAAAAAATAAGTACGTTATACGAAGAAACTTAAGTGAACAAATTTCCAAAACCATACGAATGCTAATGCCAACAGGAAAACAACTGACAGAGAACATTTACTTGACAAATGGTAATACAGAAAATTGACAAAAAGTGATAGCTCTCTTATTCCATTTCAACCGCCTTAAAACTCAAACTGTATAATTTATCATTTATTTGACACAAAAGTCTTCCCTCACATCACTTTCTTCCCTTCTTTGTGATTGCTAGGAAAAGACACTGAAGCCAGTTAAAAAATTAATTGAAAAGGTGGATATCAACCAATCATGTGACATTTAAAGTTCTAATATCTCTAAATCTGGTATGCTCCTCTTGTTTCTGTTAATTACAGAGCCAGACAGCTATACTTATATTAAATAGAAAACATAAATGGAATTGTAAACCTGAATACTGCATCTAAAGCGTACCTCTATATATGCAGCAATATTTGTCTTATTTGAACCGCCAGGCTCCTTCAAGCTTGTAATTGCTTCCATAATGAGGTTATCTAACCTACAACAGTGAAAAGATTTATGTCAGAAGTAAAATGGTACAAGATGCAAATATATCAAACAAAAACAAGAACAATGTCTAACTTGACAATGGATCTCTTTGTAGAAGGAATCTGCAATGTAGTGTTGGGAGCTGTGATGAGTTTAGCATCCACGATATCTTCATCACTTGGAACAACACCGAGTTCCATAGCACTCTCCTGTTTATTAAAGCTAGATGTCCTTTTCACAGCTAATCTAGCTTTGTCTCGAGAACCCCATCCATTGGCCATCACACTCATATTTCTCCATTTATCCTACACCAAAAAATAAAATGAATTGCTAGTACAAAACCAGAGCCTATGTTACTCGGACTCCGATGTGAGGTTAAGGCATATAAATATCTATCAAGACGGGTCTTTCCATATCGTTCGCCATTTTCCGGTGTTAGGCTATGTTGCTAGTACAAAACCAAAACCATTTTACACAGGAAGCAGAAGTACCAAACCTTAAGATCTACGTTGGAACGCAGATACAGGACACTACTGAATTCCGGGTCTTTCAATATCGTTCGCCATTTTCCGGCACCATGTTTGATGACTCCAGCTTTTAGCGCTGCCTCTTCTTCAGGTGTCCATTTCTGCTTAGGGGCACCCATTTACAGGAACACAAAGAAAACACAGCCTCCAAATTTAACAAGCTGAAAAAACCCATTTCGCTCAATATTAGCAGATAAAATCAAATTCAACCATAATCCTCCCATAAAACTATATTAGAACAAAATTATCAACAATATTGTGTCAAAATTGCATATATTTAGCTAATTCCATACAGATAATAACGTGCTAACAAATCAACAATACATATAGTACCATAAAAGAAAAATCAAATTACCAGATGTAGCAGAAATACATGAGACAAAGAAGATCAATTACCTTATAATAATTTCGCGGGTAACTTGGACCGGAGATCAGGAATCGAAGGCTTGCTGTTTTTCTTAAAAAGAATGGGAAGAAAGGGATTGAATTCAATTATTCTACCAAGGCGATGCCATGCCACATGAGATTTCACGGCGATAAAATGGGGACACTGTGATTTTTTGGCGGAAATTTCTGTTAGGGTTTTTTTTCCCTTTCCCTTTTTTCTCTTTTTGTTGGTGTTGTTCACCAAATAAAATTCTAGGGTTTACTCGTGTCACGTGTGGAAGCAGGCTACGTTCCCTTAGTGGATCTGTTATTGACACGTGTCCCACGAATTTGGCGGCTTCGGGATTTTGACTACACTAACAAGAGAGAAACAAAGATTTAGTAATTCCAAGGGAATTTTGGTTATAAGATGCGAATTTTAAAATTTTATAATTACATATCAAAAGATAATTTGATATAACGGACTTACCATATCATCTATAATTTCTGTAAATAAGACTTTTAAATTTTAAAATAATTTTTAAATAATTACATCTTATTTACATGTAAGAAAGATATGAAGATCCACCTTAAAAAAATGAGATGGACAAATATATCTATCTAATAATTTTTTATGTATACAACAATGCTCAATAGCCGCCATAACTTTTGCATGTTTTTTTCCTTGGTAGAAAGGGATATTTTCATGGACCTCGTGAAAAACGTTCTTACATCTAGTGGCGCTGTCATAATTTGGTGAGAGTGGGCATGTGCCTATATTGTAATTTCAATTTTCTTCGATTAACTATTTATTTTATTAATGACGCACACTTTAAAAAAAATTGTGTCTCTACAAGAATATGAGTTTTACTCAATTAATTATTTATTTTATGATAATATTTACATTGAAATTTTATTTGTACCATCCCATTTAAAAAAATTATGTTATTAACGTGTGGTTAAATCTAATAAAATATAAAAGAGTAACATGATAATATTACAATAAACTGTTAAAAAAAGGGTTGTGTGACAAAATCCTCATACCTCTCTCTAGGTTTTCTTCCTGGGATTTCCTTAAGTGACGTTTGGTTCGTTGGAATATTTTTTAGGGAATTGAAATCTGTGAAGAAATTGGAATCTGTTATGAATTAGAATCCAATTCCATATTATGTTTGGTTGGCATGAAATGAAATTGGAATCCAATTTCATATTCTGTCTGGTTCGTAGACATGTCAGATGAATTTGATTTCAGTAATGTAAAATGATAGAATTGTACTTCCTGTTTTTTTGCTTTATTTTAGTTTGTTTTACAACTTACACGTAGTAATATATTATAAAAAATTAAAAAATATTAAATTTTCATTTTATTGATTGATTATTCATTTCAATAAATTATAAAAATCATTTTTATTCAAAAAAAAAACATTGACTTAATTGAAAAAAATTATATATATAAGGGTATTATTGTAATTATTCCTAAATATATAATGTAAAATTATATATATTTTTCGGGTCGGGTCCGGTTTTTTACCCTAAACCTAAACCCGACCCAAATATCACACTTAAAAAAACCGACCCGACTCGACCCGAATATCACACTTAAAAAACCTGACCAACCCGAACAAAATAAAGTTTCACCCGACCCGACCCGAATATATGAATTAGAAATCCGACCGACCCGAAATAATAAAAAATTATTTTTATTCAATAAAAACAGTGACTTAATTGAAATATATATATATATATATATATATATATATATATAGGGGTATTATTGTAATTATTCATAAATATATAAGGTAAAATTATATATATTTTCGGGTTGAGTATTTTTTACCCTAAACCCGAACTCGACCCGACCCGAATATCATACTTAAAAAAACCGACCCAACCCGACCAAAATAAGTTTCACCCGACCCGACCCGACCCGAATATATGAATTAGAAACCCAACCCGACCCGAAATAATAAAAAAATATTTTTAATCAATATATGAATAAATCACCAAAAGATTAATGAGGGTAGTATGGTCAAATTTCAATTCCCTCTAACAAGTGAATTGAATTCTATCTATTTTTAGATGGAATTAACTTTCTATTATTTGATGGAAAGTTGAAGCCATGAAAGATTTCAATTCCCTTAAAAAACTTGAACCAAACATAAAAAAATAGTAAAATTAGATTGCAATTCCCACTCATTTCAGGTGATTCATGCCAACCAAACACTACTTTAAAAAATGATTTGTTTAGGATTCTTTGTAATTCTGGTCATGCTCATCAAAGGTTTCAATCGAAGGTTTTCACTTCTGGTTCAAAGTTTATTTTTCATTATGTTTCCGTCCACTACCACAAGTCAGTGGAACATTTTCTCGTCCTCACATCCATTCATACTTTCTACCAACGGTGCATTCGATCTTGCTTTAAAATAGTTCTTGTGGGAAGGTTTCGTCGAGGAGATTTACAGCGAGGTAAGTTTTTCTTTAGTTTTAACATCATCTCTTCAGTGGCTTTGCAGGATCGAAGGAATGGTTTCAACTCTGGAAGGGAGGGAGAGATAGGCTCAACTTCAAGATGGAGCTTACGTAGAAAGGAAAGATGGAAAACAAAAAGAGAATTAAGGAAGTGTTGGGAAATTTGGCAGAGGGCTAGGTCTTACAAAAAGTTGACAGATTTCAAAGGTAGTTTGAGCACTTCGATATGGAGATCTAAGCTAGTTGAGGGAATTTTGAGCAAATATTCGAAGTGTGGTTGCAGAAATGATAAGAAGCAGTGGTGCATTCAAAAGACGAATAGTCATCGACTTTGGTCCGGCGAACGACGTAGAACCAGTCCCTCGAACAGCTCTCGGAATTCCCCCCAAAATGGGGGATGTGACAGGGCAGCCTATTCTTTTAGCAGACTATTGTACGTATGTAACACCCCCAATATTTCTCAAACCAATGGTAAGTCCAAGTGGGACAGATGGAAGGACAGGGCCATTGTTTGTAAGTTTTGGATTGATAAAATAGGCCTCAAAAGGAAAGCCAAAAGGAGTAGTCCCATCATCTGCAGATGTGATTTAAAACGTACTGAAAATAATATTTGGCTGCATAGCTGCATAGGATGAGCGGGAGAGTTGGTGGGTTTCAAGATAAGTCCCTCGAAAGAGATGTACGACCTCCAGATGTGATTTATTGGGAAGTCTCACGTTCACAATTTCGAATTCGAGGAAGCGTGTACACAGCTACGAGGAGGTTTTGGGAGGTCTTTTCACAAGTCGTCCTGGAGTTATTCCCAAGATAACGTTAGATTTTTCTCTCACGCATGATTTGGACGGATGGTTTTTTAAGTTGGTGCATTGGTTACCACCACCGGTATATTTGCTGTGGCCTTTATTAACCCAAAGCTTGTTCACACTCCACCTCCATTTCCTCTCAAGCAAGTCTATTTCGTCTCCTCTTCCCCAGTTAGTTTTATGCGAGGGATCTAATATTTTTTCCTACCAAGTTACCATGGCCGAGGAGGTGATGCATCACATGGGACAACTCATTTTCGGAGGAAGAGACGGCAGTTTTTGAGACTCCGAAGAGTCATATCTCAGGAAGATCTTCAAATCACGGACAAGTGGATTGCTGCTAAGATTATTACATCAAAGCGGGTTCATGAGGATGTTGTTATGAGGGTCTTTAGATCAGTTTGGGGGCCGAAAAAACTCACTGAAGCAACTAGCCTCTGCCCCCAAAATGTTTCTTTTCAAGTTTGCTTATTTGGCAGACAAGTCAAGCATAGGGCACCATGGAGCTTTGACGGAGACCTTATGGCCGTTTCCGACTATGACCCTACTTTGTGTGTTGATGAGTATGATTTCTCTGTTCTTCTTATCTGGATCAGGATCTTCGATCTCCCTCTTGGCCTCATGAAGCAAGAGTCGGCGATCAAAATCGGGAACACAATTGGGACGACAGTGGCTGTGGACTTTCAAAATGGGGAGTGTAGGCTTGGCGCGCATCTTCGAATTCGGGTCGGAATCGACATTAAGAAACTGCTTAGGAGGTGCCTGAACGTTGTTACCGGGCGGGACGGACAACCAAGACGGTATCTTTTGAAGTACGAGAGGCTGCCGAACTTTTGTCACTGGTGTGACATTGTATGACATATGATCATTAGTGTCCATCCTATTCTGCTAATGGTCTTGAGACTCCTCAATTTGGAGACTGATTACTAGTTTACAAACCTAAGGAGCAATCTAGTAGTTTAACCTCAAAAGATGGATGTCTTATTTATGTGGAGAGTTAAGGCTCAACGAGCTTCAAGGGGCAGAATTCCTCCATTGGGAGCACTAGAAGGTCACCACGAACTTTGTCCCTGCCGACTGCCGAGGATTCAGATTTTACTCCCCCAACAAGTGGCAGAGAACGTGGCTGTGAATGAAGTGAAAGTAGCAGGGAAAGAAGAGTCTACCAGACCAAAACTGTCCAGGAGTAGAGGATGTGGGGAACGTCCAATCGAACCCGCCACGAGTGCATAATGTGGTTGACCTGGTCTCTTCAAGCATGGGTAGGCGGAAAAGTGGAGTCTCACTACAGGAAGAAGAGGACCAAGAAGACAAGTGGTAAGGCCGTAGCTGATGATGGTTCATTGAGTTCGAGAGCTGAGCCGGTGGAGGATCCAAGTGAAGCCCCTACTGAGAGGGGTGATGAGCATGTAGCAGCGGTGGAGGCTGCGGAGCAGCCCCGCCGAGAACCATGATTATTTCGTGTTGGAACTGTCGAGGGCTGGGGAACCCGATGACAGTTTGAGAACTTAAGAGTTTAATCTCTTCTAAGGACCCTTTGCTTATTTTTGTTTCGGAATCCAAGCTTCGTAAGTACAAAGCGAAGCATGTTAGAATTAGGTTAGGCATGACTGGTTTTGTTGTGGAGTTTATGATTCATGTACTGGCTTTGTTGTATTTTGGAAAAATGATATCAATGTCTTTTGGGTTACTCGAGTTTGCATATTGACGTTGAAGCTAGTTGGAAATCTTTTCATTTTCGTTTTACTGGTTGTATTCGGGGCAGGAGAGTGGATAATTGGAACCTTATTGATAGGCTCTCCGGTACCTCCACCTCCCCTGGGTGATGGGAGGTGATTTCAACGAAATCATTCATCTAGATGAAATGGTAGGGGGAAGAACGAGGCCAAGAATTGATATGGAAGATTTTTGCCATACTCTCCTTAGAACTGATCTTTGGGATGTTAAGTCCAA